AAAGAGCAGAGTCCATGTGTTACTGTTTTTCTCAAATCCTCGTTCTCTCAACCCCTTGTTCTCCAAGCTCACCACAACTAGCAGGTGAAGGTCTTAAGTGAGCTAGACCCATGGATGGCAGGCAGCTTCCTACTCTCAACATTGCCTCTTCCGGAGGCTTTGGTGGGCCCCGACGACGACTCACGTGTTGCGCGCTTGCAACTCGGTGTCCTCACGTCTCCCCTGGGCTCCAAGAGGGAGCAAACTTCCCACGCCAGCCCTCTTTTGCCGCACTCCTCTGAGGAGGCACTCCTCTGAGGAGGCAGTTGTCGCCACGTCCAGCACGTGCTCCTTCTCCTCCTCCTCCTCGGGGTTTGGAAGACAGCTCAGTTTGTGGGGTGCTCGTGGCTGTCGCTCCTGGGGTGCTGCCCAGTTCGTGCTGTCTCTCTTTTGCTTCTTCCCGTTTATTTTTAGCTGTTGCCTCTCTTGCCGTTTGCCTGTTGCTTGGAGACTGGTGCCGTGCCTGTGTGTGTGTGTGTGTGTGTGTGTGTGTGTATATGGGGGGGGTTGTGTGTGTGAAAGAGTATTTTGGGGGGGTCTTTTTAGGTCCTGTGGTGCCAAGAACCAAGGAAGAGGGAAGGATGCTGAATCGCATTTGAAAGGGGTGGTGGTGCACCACTCCATTTGGCCCGGAGTGCAATTCTGTGCTTGGTGGGCATGTGTATGTGTGTGTGTGTGTGTGTGTGTATGGGGGGGTGGGTGGGGGAGATGCAGTTGAGGCATGCCAGCCCCCCCAGGTTGCAGTGTGTGGGCTTGGCTCTCGCCCTCCCACCCCTCGTTCAGGATGACATCACCATCCTAATGGCTCGGTCTAACGCTGATGCCCTTGAACGGGCGCCCGTGTCCCTGGCCTCCATTACAGGGGCCTGAATTATTGATGGGCTCAGAGCGCCTGGGGTTTGGGAAATGGGAAACCACAGAGCCCCCCCCCCACTCCTCCTCCTCCTCCCCCCCTCCTTCCCCACCAAGATCTGACACCCTCCCTGAAGGCATTGGGCCCAGGCTCAGCAATTTCAGCCAAGGAGAAATAAAAGCATGGTGTATGTGTGTGTGGGTGTGTGTCTCCTGGGCCACAGGCAGGCTGAGTTCAGACAACATGCTCAGCCAGAGTTTCCCTCCCACGGCAGAGACCTATGCACCAGATGGGAAACCTCGTCTTCGCTCTGGGGGTGCAGAACACAACGCGGGTTTGTGTGACTTATACCGGACGAGGGTGAAAAGATTCACGGGGCGTGGAAGAAAATATGTACAGGCAGTCCTCGACATACGACCGACGTTGATGTTGCTAAGCGAGACAATTGCCCCGTTTTTACAGCCTTTCTTCCCGCAGTTGTTGTTAAGTGAATCGCGGCAGTTGTGAAGTTAGCCCCATGGTTCTTAAGTGAATCCGGCTTCCCCATGGACTTGGCTTGTCAGAAGGTTGCCAAAGGGGGTCACATAAACCCGGGAGGCTGCAACCGTCATAAGTACGAGTCAGTTGCCAAGCCTCTGAATTTTGATGGCATGACCATGGGGGACGCCGGAAAGGGTATTAAGCGTGAGAAACAGTCATCAAACAATTTTTTTCAGTGCTGACACAACTTTGAATGGTCACTGAAAGGATGGTTGTAATTCAAGGACTACTTGTATAAGGCAGGGGTCCTCAATTTTGGCGACTTTTAAGACTTGTGGACTTCAACTCCCAGAATTCCTCAGTCAGCTTTGCTTCCCTAAAGGTTTGGGCCAGGGGTCCTCAACCTTGGCCACTTTTAAGACTTGTGGACTTCAACTCCCAGAATTCCTCAGTCAGCTTTGCTTCCCTAAAGATTTGGGCCAGGGGTCCTCAACCTTGGCCACTTTAAGACTTGTGGACTTCAACTCCCAGAATTCCTCAGCCAGCTTTGCAAAGCTGGCTGAGGAATTCTGGGAGTTGAAGTCCACAAGTCTTAAAGTGGCCAAGGTATAAGGTTTACTCTATGCACTACAAAGGAGCCAATGCGTATGACCAACCTTGAAAAGGGGAATTTTTTTTTTGAAAACCCAGGTTTGAAGTTCCGACAGTCGGGCCCCCTCCCGCAGTCAGCTAGCCAAACTTTGTGCACTTTGGCAACATGACTACATTTTATGGCCGTTTCCAGGGCCTCACAGCAATGTGGGTATGTTGCACAGTGGTTTTGTCAAAGCAAACCATAGGTTAGCTTAACCGCCTCAGTGTTTCCTTTACAGCCGCTCGTTTGTTTTACGACCGCTACAAAAACAGTTGTATGTTGAAGACTGGCTGCATGACATAACACTTGAAAGCCTTTTACCCGGGTTTAACAAAAGAACACTTGTGATTTCACACTTTAGTGGGCTCAGATAAACGCAACCTCTGTCGTCTGCCCAGCAAGGAAGCTCTCGTTTGATCAGTTGCTATCACAGCTTAACCGACTTCACATGGCTGTGGGAGAAAATCAAGACTGCAGGGCAATTCTAGAAAGAAGTACAGATAGTCTTCGACTTACAACAGTCCATTTAGTGACCGTTCCAAGTCACAACGGGTACTGAACGGTACCTGAAACCATTTTTCAGTTAACAGCCTTTGTAGCGTCCCCACGATCGCGTGATCAAAATCCAGATGCTTGGCAACCGGTTCGTACTTAACGACCGTTGAAACATCCTGGGGTCACGTGACCCCCTTTCGCAAGCTTCTGACAAGCCAGAGGCATTGGGAGAGCTAGACTCACTTAACAACCGGGTTACTAACTTAACAACTGCAGCGATTCACTTAACAAGCGTGGCAAGGGAGGTCATAAAATGAGGCAAAACAAACGTCTCCCTTAACGACGTAACTATTGGGCTCGCTTGTGATCGCGAGGCTAGGACTGCCTGCGTATTTTGATGCAGGTTGAGGAATTGTGGGAGTTGGAAGTCCACAGCTCTTTAAGAAAGGTGGGGTTTCCTGCCTGAGCAGAGGGTTGGACTAGATGACCTCCAAGGTCCCTTCCAACATCATCATCATCATATAAGGAACGGTTGCTGGAATTGGGTATGTCTAGTTTAACGAAGAGAAGGACGAGGGGGGACATGATAGCAGTCTTCCAGTATCTCAGGGGCTGCCCCAAAGAAGAGGGAGTCAAGCTATTTTCCAAGGCGCCTCAAGGCAGGACAAGAAGCAACGGATGGAAACTAAGCAAGGAGAGAAGCAACCTAGAACTAAGGAGAAACTTCCTGACAGTGAGAACAATTAACCAGTGGAACAACCTGCCTCCAGAAGTGGTGAATGCTCCAACACTGGAAGTTTTTAAGAAGAGAGTGGACAGCCATTTGTCTGAAATGGTATAGGGTTCTCTGCCTGAACAGGGGGTTGGACCAGATGACCTCCAAGGTCCCTTCCAACTTTACTATTATTATTATTATTATTATTATTATTATTATTATTATTATTATTATTATTATTATTATTATTATTATTATCATTTATTATCATTTATTATCATTTATTATTATTATTATTACACTTTAGAGCAAGGGGGTCTAGTGGTGTCAAAAATCTCAGGATAATGGCTGCACACCCTGAGATAGAAGTGACTGCCTTGTTTTGGGTGCGTGTCTGTGTGTGTGCGCGCACGCGTTGTGTTGAGTTAGTTTGGCCCAACCAGAACTGTTGAGACACAGCCAGCCAGTTGGGAAGGGGGACCCCCCCTCCCCAAATGGCTGAGAATGGACAGCTTCCTCTTTGCCTCCCCAAGGGAGGAGAAGCCAGCATTTCTGACTGCTGTGCTGGAAAGGTTGTTTATGGAACAATGGGAGAGGCCCCCATCTTGGAGAGACCCGCGACGGCAGCCTTTATTTGCGACTTCCTGTTTGGGGGGGGAGCGGCGGAGGCGAGGGGGCCTTGTGAAAACTTTCAGAGGTGGGGGCTTTGCAAGATGGAGCACCCCCCTCCTGCTCGTCCTGTTTGTTCCTTGCCCAGTTTGGACGCCGGTGACCATCTGGGGTCTTCCACAGCCCTGGGTATTGTCCGGCCTTTGTGGGGAAAGCCGGTGGGGGCGGGGGCAGCAGTGATGGCTTCTCTGCCCCCCCTCCCCTCCCCAGGAATGCTTGCGCCTGTTGGGAAAAAAGAAAGCCTTGTCTTGAAGTTGCTGACCTCAGCTGAGAACCATTCCCCCTTCTGCCCCTCCTCAAGTATGTGCTGCCCGGGGAGAACATGGCACAAAGGCCCTCCCGGGCCCGTCCCCCCACTTCTAAACACGCCCGATGCTTCTAAACACGCCCGATGCTTGTCCAGGCCGTAACGGGGGCCGACTCTTTCCTTGGGCTGGGGGGGGGTGTCTTTTCAGACCTTCTCCTTCGCCCCTTTCCGCTGCCAGTTCCACCCGGTCGCCCTCCAGCGCCCTTTGGCTGTCCAGCAGAGGTTGCAAGCCGTGGCGCTTGCAAAGTCGGGCGCTTGCAAAGTCGGGCGCCAGGTTTGGGGCATGGGGGGTGGCTGGGATGCTGCTGCCCTCCCGTCCTGCAGGCAGGGAGGCTTTCCTTCGAGTTGGCTGCTCCTGCCCTCCTACGCTTGGAGGGCCCAGCCTGGAAGTCGTGAGGTGGCTTGGCTGCCCTCCCAGCCTCCTGGCTGCAGAGGGGGGAGAGGCGGCGGCGGCGGCGGCGACGGTGGCGGCAGCAGCAGCCGGTTTCCTGTTTTTTCCTCCCCTGGCACACTGGGGAGGGGGGTGGTGGCTAAAATCCACATGCCACCGCCGCCGCAGCCGTTGCATCCTGGTGGGGGTGGGGGGTGGCTTTGAGCCACCCAGGGCTCCTGCCAACATGTCCTGATCAGATGCAGCCAGAGGATCCGCGTATGGGAATTGCCAGCACTTTGCTTCTAACTCTTCTATGCTGGGGGGGGGGAGGATGGTGGCGGGGGTGGTGGGCTCTTGGCTGCCCTGTCTTGGAAACACGCCCCCTCCCTTCCCAGACCGAGCTGGCTAACGCTGCCCTTCTGCTTGGCAGGGTTCGCCTTCCCGGATTGGGCCTATAAGCCGGAGTCGAGTCCCGGTTCCCGTCAGATCCAGCTCTGGCACTTTATCCTGGAGTTGCTGCGGAAGGAAGAGTACCATGACGTCATCGCCTGGCAAGGGGACTACGGCGAGTTTGTCATCAAGGACCCCGACGAAGTGGCCCGGCTCTGGGGGGTGAGGAAATGCAAGCCTCAGATGAACTACGACAAGCTGAGCCGGGCTCTGAGGTGAGACGGGCAGAGATGGGTGGAGAAATTCCAGGAATTTGGAAGGCAGGGGGGGGGGGTGAGCACCTGGTGAGGAGCCAGCGGGGATGGTGGGAAAGGAACGCTGCGAAATTCAGCCAGTGGGGCTCTCTCTGCAGCTTTTTAATTTAGGGCTTAGAAACATGCCCACACAGGCATGCATCCAGGGATGTACACAATGCACGTGCCGCTTGGCCCAGCCCTTCCCTCGCAAAATATGGAAAGCTTGGCTCGTTTTGCAGCGCTCCGGTGAAAAATAAATTGGGGATGTTTTGCAAGAGAGAATAAAACTTTAGGGGTGGAAAATCTGGAATTTTTAAGGGCCGTTTTATTCCACTCGTTTCCCAAGCAGCTGAGAACGTTATCCGCTGTCTGAATAGGGTGATTACGATTCATCTCTTTTTTAAAACTGTGCCTTTCAAACAAGATGGATGAAAAAGTGAGCTAAGCACACGGTTCCATGCAAGATATGGCAGGAGTTTGCGTTAAGTCCAAGGGCTAATTCAGTGAAGACCAGTTTTAGTTCGTTAGGCTGCTGATTTCGTTTGTTGGGTTACTTTATAAATTTTCCACTTGTAAAAACCAGGGGAACTGCATCTGTACAGGTAGCCCTTGACTTAACAACAGTTCATTTAGTGACCGTTCAAAGTTACGACGGCACTGGAAAAGGTGACTTAGGACCATTTTTCACACCTTTGTAGCATCCCCATGATCACGTGATCAAAATTCAGATGCTTGGCAACTTGACTCACGTTTATGACGGTTGCCGTTTCCTGGCGTCCTGTGATCCCCTTTTGCAACCTCTTAACAAGCAAAGTCAATGGGGAAGCCAGATTCGCTTAACAACCGTGTTACTCACTTACCAACTGCGGTGATTCACTTAACAACGGTGGCAAGAAAGGTTGTAAAATGCGTCAAAACTCAACAAATTGTGGCCGTAAGTTGAGGACTACCTGTATTGCATTCACAAATGTCTCCTGTATAGCTTGGAAAAAGATTCCTATCTGAAATTGTGGAATGCTGCTGGTGAGACAGGACCCCTTGTTTCTGCTGTTGGTGGAATAAAACTTGGGAAAAATTAGACGTAGCCCTCCTATATAAGATCACCTAAAATGATAGGAATACAGATATTCCTCAACTTATAAACACAGTTGGCACCTGAATTTCTGTTGCTAAGCTAAGCAAGGCGGAAGTTAAGTGAGCCGTGCTCGCTTTTATGACCTGCTTTGCCAGGGTTGTTAAGCGAATCACTGCAGTTGTTAAGCGAATTGGGCTTTTCCCCCCCCTTGACTTTGCCTGTCGAAAGCTGCCTGGGAAAGTTGCAAATGGCGATGACATGACACACACACACACACACAGGACATTGAGATACTTGTAAATACATGCCAGTTGCCAGGCACTCTGACTTTGATCGTGGAGGTGCTGCAGTGGTGGTTAAGTGCAAGGATTAAGTTGTATAAATCACATTTTTTCAGTGCTTTTGTAACTTTGCTAAACAAATGGTTGTAAGTTAGAGGCTACCTCTATGAATACACTTGGGTGCCTTCTAGTCCAGGGGCAGGCCACCTTGGCTCTTTTATGACTCGTGGACTTCAACTCCCAGAATTCCTGAGCCAGCATGGCTCAGCATGGAAACCTCTCCCTTTCCCCTCAGCATGGCTGGCTCAGGAATTCTGGGAGTTGAAGTCCACCAGTCATAAAAGAGCCAAGGTTGCCTACCCCTGTCCTAATCCAACTCACAGCTATTTACTGAGGTGTGTGTGCCATTCCATTAAAAAGAATTATTGACTCGGATTGGAAACTCCTTGACGCAAACCAACGTCAGCTTACAGACACCAATAAATCCCTCTTTTCCACATGCATAATAGAGGAATAACCCCATAACTGGAGGGGTAGAAAATGTACACTTGCCCCAAGGCTAATAATTTGCTTAGACTGGTTTCTCATCCTTACGTAATAGGCAGTTGTTCCTATGCAAAGTTTGTGGGCTAGTGGCTATTTACAAGGCTGTTACCAAATCCCTTTGCAATCACAGGGACAAGAAGCATCGAACAGATGCTGCTTCACACTTGCTAAGGCTGTAACACTTCCTTTAGGGGCTGTGCAGACACCCACAGACTCCCGAGTTTGGTTTTGATGGTGGGGGAGAAGTAGGACTTGTGAGTCACTGACCCTCTCTTCCTCCTCCTCCTCCTTCTCCTCCTCCTCCTCCTCCTCACGATCCTGCAGATATTACTACAACAAGCGGATCCTGCACAAGACCAAAGGGAAACGTTTCACCTACAAGTTCAACTTTAACAAATTGGTGCTGGTCAACTACCCTTTCATTGATATGGGCATGGCAGGTAAGCGTGGTGGGAAGACTTGCAGAGCAGATTACCTCTATCTGCAGGCGTTCTTGAACCCCTGGCTAGAAAGCCAAAGAAACTTAAGTTTAAAGCATTTAGTACCGCTGGAAAAACGAGCGACGCCCGACCACAGACACGCATGCATCTACATCGTGATGGGTCTGTTGGGTGTGCCCCAAAGAAAAAAAAAAGAGAGAGGTTCAAAGGTCTTTATTTTACTTATGGAAAAATATATCGACCCATAAGGAAGGAAGATAATTTTCCCATCAAATGTTTTAACTTTGGAACGGGAGTGTCCCTGTAGTTGTGCTGGAAATAGAGTATAGGTGGAGGGGTTTTTTTAACGTAGAGGTGGAAGGAAGGGATTGCAGGTTAAATTCTGGGTTCTCTTTTTGGGGGGTTAATTGGCTGATTGGCCCTGGGGAAAATGACCATTTGGGAGAAGAATGTATTTGTCTAGAAAGAATACAGTCCAGGATGTGGCCAGTTCAAAAGTTCTAGGGTGGGAATGTCCAAGCTTGGCAATTTTGGACTTTATTTATTTCCCATGCTCTGTTTGGTACATGATCACCCTGGTTCTCCACCAAGGAATGTCTTCAGGAGCATCTAAGGCAGGGGTGTCCAATCTTGGCAACTTTACAACCTATGGACTTCAACTCCCAGAATTCCACAGCCAGCCATGGCTGTAGGTTGTAAAGTTGCCAAGGTTGGACACCCCTGCCTTAGATGCTCCTGAAGGTCTTAAAGGTTTTTTAAAGTCTTAAAAGTTACCTTGGTTGGACATCCCCGATCTACTATACTAGGAAAAGGGACGGCAGTATCTGGAGGGAGAGTGAAAAAGGGATATCAGCCTAGAATCCCTACATAGCTACACGCAGACAAAGTTCAACCCTTTTTGAGTGCTGTTGACCCTTGTCTCACTTTAAGCAGGTGCCGAAAGTTAGCTGAGAAAATTCAGGATTAGCCACTGATCAGTTAGATTGGACTTTCACATGGGGACCTGAGCTTTGGTGCCTGACAAGGGGGTCGGAAAAGGCCTTTGACAAATGGGGTAGATATTTAACAGGTCACTGGTCTTGCTTCCGTGAGCTGAATCTGTTCAACTGGACTTTGAGAAAGGAGTGGTTGGACGGAGAGGGAGGTTAGTTCTCCTCTTAGACATTTTCATCCTCGTTTCTTGTGACGCTGATTCCCCTGGTTTGCTTTCCTCCTCCTTGTAGGTGGGGCCGTGCCCCAAAGTGCCCCACCTGTGCCCTCGGGTGGGTCACACTTCCGCTTTCCCCCTTCCACCCCATCTGATATCTTGTCACCGGCCGAGGATCTGCGTTCGCCTGGGGTCTTCTCCGCCGTGGCTCGCCGCCTCGCTCGGGGCTCGGTCAGCGACTGCAGCGACGGCACCTCAGCCAATTCAGAAGTCGAGGAATCGTTGGCCGAAGAGCAGCGGCGTGGTGGTGGAGGAGAGGCAGGTGGATTCCGTGGTCCCCCCTTGCCCGGCCATCCACGTTTGACCCACGACACCCTCTTTAGGATCTATCCTCGCCCGCGGGTTCCTGAGCCTCTCAGCCCCTTCCCCGGGTCCCCCATGGCTGGGCCTGCTGCTCTCCTGCCCCCCCAGATGTCTCCTGCCCTGCCCCTCACCCCCACTCACATGAATTATACTCCCTCGCCCACCCTCAGCCCCATGTATCCCAGCGGCTCCCACTTCTCCTTCAACCCGGAGGACATGAAGCGCTACCTCCAAGCGCACACCCAGAGTGTGTACAACTACCATCTCAGTCCCAGGGCCTTCCTCCACTACCCCAACATTATCATCCCGCAGCCCCAGCGCCTGGAGAAGCCCCCTCTTCCCCCTCCGCCCCCACACGCTGAGGAGACCCCCAGCCCTTTCAAATTCAAGCTGCAGCCGCCGCCGTTGGGGCGCCGCAACCGTGACAAGCAGCCTCCGCCAGCTCCAGCTGTGCCCCCGGGAGACTCCAGCAGCGGTCTCCCTGCCTCCTCCTCCTCCTCCTCTTCTGCAGCTGCTCCGGAGCCCCTCGTCCCCCAGATCAAAGTGGAACCCATCTCGGAAGGAGAGTCTGAGGAAGACCTCACGGTGGAGGTCACCGATATCAGCGAGGATGACGAGGAGGTCTTTAAGGCCCCTTCAGTCCCCCTGGAGAAGATCGAAAATGGGGAGACTTCAGCCCTGGCGCCCCCCGTTTCTCGGGCCGGGGATAGCGGCAAATGCATTCCCCTCAAATTACGTTTCAAACGCCGCTGGAGTGAGGATCAGCGGCTGGAAGCCGGCGGGACAGGCGACGAAACAGACGACAAGAAAGTGAAGGGTGAGGAGGATGCTGTTGGTCACGGGGACGCAGTGGGAGGCCGACGGATCAGCACGGAGCTGCAGCAGGCCACAGCAGAGCTGACCCTTGAGAATCGGGACTGCTAGACGGGGACGTACAGCCCTCCCTCCCTCCCTCCGGACAGATGGACTGATGACGGGGTGGGTGGGTGGGCTGACTTTGCTGCCTTAACTCAGAGATTATCTTTCTACTTTCCTTTCTTTTTTCCTTCCTTCCTTCCTTGGCCTGGAACTCTGTACATGCTCTTCTCCTTCTTTGGAAGCCAGAAAAAAAGAATACGTAGGGGCGGGGAAGTTTTTACTTGTCTATATGCATTATATAAATCTAAATCTAAATATATATATATATTATATATATGTAAAACCTCTTTGCAAGGGGGGGGGATTTTCTAAAAATTAATATGCCAGGTTTGTTTTTAAGGGTTCTCTTTCCTCTTTCTCCCGCCCCACACACTATAAGCCTCAGGACCTTTTTAATTAAGATTGTCCCCCCCCCCAAAAAATATGGTGTAGTTTTAAAAAAAAGCATTGGGGGGAGCTTTGTAGGGGATAATAAGGGTAGTCTGATGGAAGCGGCCACCCTGTTATTTCCCTCGTCCACACACACACACACACAAACTTGCAATTAGCAATCTTAAGCACAATACACTTTTTAATCCCCCAGTGGATCAAAAAGAGAGTTAGCCATATGTTCTCTGTCCCTTTTAACCCCTTCCCGTGCGCCTTTGGCGTATAGCCATGCTGGGCACATGACCACGGAAATTGTCTTCAGACAACGCTGGCTCCCTCAGCCAGGAAACGGTGAGTTGGACACAACCGGATAGGAAGACCTTTCCCTTCTATATATTAATTATATTAAATATTTTATAGGCTGCCCAAGACAAGTCCTCTTCACTCAATGCAGCCCAGGAAAGCCGAAAGCTTGGACATGCCCGCTGTATAAATGGTTAGCGTGGGATCATTGAGGCATCTTTGTTGTTCAAACGCGTCCGTTGTGTTGCCGTTGTCTTCTAACCTAGAAAAAGAGGGGATCGCGTACGTTTTCGGGGCTTGCTACCCCCATGGATGGTTGACGGGTGTCTGTACAAAATGTCATCCTCACCACTAGTGGCAAAAGACGATTTTTCTATCTATCTTTGCCCACCCCACCAAAGACTTTCCCTTTATAACAATGCTTTAGGAAACTATTAAAAAAAAAAAAAATCCAAGGATGGGCTTGGGCCTAGTTCAGACTTGTCCAGCCTGCAGGCCTGGACAGCTAACAATGCCGCCTCACAAGTCTGTAATCTTTTAACATTATGTGATTTATACACGTTAACTGTACTACAGGTAGTCCTCAATTTATGACCGCAACTGAGCCCCGAATTTCTGTCACTAAGCAAGACCGTCGTTAAGTGAGTTTTGCTTAGTGACCAAACGGTTCCCTTGGTAACTAGTGATAGATGTTGTGTTGCTAAAATGGCGGCAGTTTTGCCTCAGTTTATAATCCTTCTTGCCCCGGTTGTTAAGCGAATCGCTGACGTTGTTAACTGAAATGTGCGGTTGTTAAGCGAATTGAATTGCTTGCTAGGAAGCCGGCTGGGAAGGTTACAAATATTGATCACATGATCCCGGGGCAGCACAACACGGCAGTTGCCAAGTGTCTGAATTTTGATCATGTGACCATTGTAACGAACAGTCATTAAGCAAATGGTTGTAAGTCGAGGACTACCTGTATGTATTTTATAGGCCACCCAAGATAATTCCAGAATCAGTTTGGTCTAGGGCAGGGGTAGGCAACCTTGGCTCTTTTATGACTCGTGGACTTCAACTACCAGAATTCCTGAGCCAGCCATGCTGAGGGGAAAGGCAGAGGTTTCCATGCTGAGCTATGCTGGCTCAGGAATTCTGGGAGTTGAAGTCCATGAGTCATAAAAGAGCCCAGGTTGCCTACCCCTGGTCTAATGGTTAAGGAAACAGGCTAGAAAGCAGGAGGCTGTGAGTTCAAGTCCCGTTTTAGCCATGAAAGCCAGCTGGGTGACCTTGGGACCAGTCCCTGTCAGCCCAACCCACCTCACAGGGTTGTTGTGAGGAAGTAGGAGGAGGAAAGTGTGTTGAATATGTTCACTGCCTTGAGTTCTTTGTAAAAGTAATAAAGGCAGGATACAAATAAATAAAATTAAAAAAAATCCTCTTCACTCACAGCGGCCCAAGCAAGCCAAAAGGTTGGACATCCCCCCCCCCCCGTGGCCATTAAACCCCCATTAGGTTTGGGAATTAAAGGGGTGGGTGGGATCTGAAGGGTTTTTTTAAAGTGCCTGTTGCTGTTTCCAAGGGAACCTAAGCAGGGAACGGACATCCTTTTTTTTTTTTCTCGGTCCACACAACCGTTGTCCCTGAAAAGATGGCTCTTCCTTTCCTTGTGCCCGTTCCCGCCCAGCAACTTCAGAAATGAAGACTAACTCTTTCCCCCCATCTTGTTAAGTAATCCCACCTCCTTGCTTTTGCAACGGAAGGTTTGGATCCTCTGTGGAAGAGGATCAAGAAAAGTGACCCTGCAGGATAACGGTGCCTTGGAGAAAACAAAAAAAATATATATTTGGGAATCTTGCTACGCAGCCGTGTCTCCCCTCAGCTGTGCTCCAAATCTTTATGGATGTATTTGCCTTGCTCCCCACTCTGTTAGGACAGAGGTGACTCAGTTCCCCAAAGAGACAGATTTGCATGTAGACACCCCCCCCCAAAAAAAGCTGACTTATGGGATGCTGCCATGAACCCCAAAGCGGGATCTGGAATGAATAACCTCTTCCTTGTGAGGTCAATATAAAGCAGTAACGTGCTTGAGGGTTGTTTCATATATGTATATGTATGTATATATACATATATATATATATATATATAGCCTTATTCAGATTCTTGTACATATCAAAGAAAATGGGGTGTCGTTCATTTTAAGAATGTACAAAAAGAAAATGAAAACAATAAAGGGTTTTGAGATTTCATAACTTGGTGGTCCATTATGAATTTTGGAATATTGGTGCAATCAATATGTATGTTTGGGGGGGAAGCAGAGATATCTTGGTGCACTGGGGAAAGGGGGAAGAGCATACAGGGGGTCCTCGGCTTATGACCACTATTGAACAAATGTTCCATTACTAAGCAAGATAATTGTTAACGTGAGTTTTGCCCCAGTTTACCACCTTTCTTGCCACAGTTGCTAAGTGAGTCATTTGGTTACTAAGCGAATCTGGCTTCCTTCCATTGACTTTGCTTGTCAGAATCCAGCTGGGAAGGTCACAAAAGGGGATCCTGGGACAGTGTAACCATCATCAATACGAATCAGTTGCCAAGCACCCGAATTTTGATCACATGACCATGGGGATGCTGCAATGGTCATAAGTGTGAGGACAGGTTATAGGTTTTTTTTTTTAGAGTCATTGTAACTTTGAACAGTCACTGAATGGTGGTAAGTTGAGGACTACCTGTGTTTGGGTAATACAGGTAGTCCGCGACTTATGGCCACAACTGAGCCCAACATTTCTGTTAAGTGAAACATTTGTTAAGTGAATCCTGCCCCATTTTGCGACCTTTCAAGCCACAGTTGTTAAGTGAATCCCTGCAGTTGTTACATGAGTATCCTGGGTTGTTAAGTGAAACTGGCTTCTCCATTGACGACCTTTCTTGCCGCAGTTGTTAAGTGAGTCATTTGGTTGCTAAGCGAATCTGGCTTCCCTCCATTGACTTTGCTTGTCAGAATCCAGCTGGGAAGGTCGCAAAAGGGATCACGTGTCCCCAGGACACAGCAAAGGTCGTAAATATGAACCAGTTGCCAAACATCTGGATTTTTGTCAAAGGTGGTAACTGAGAACTGGTCATAAGTCACTTTTGTCACTGCCATTGTAACTTTTGAACGGTCACTAAATGAACAGTTGTAAGTCAAGGACTATCTGTAAAAGCTCTTTGCTAAGGTAGGCATTGTGGCTAAATTTATGTTGGAGGTGAGGTCAAGTAACGGCCCTGAGCTGCTTCAGAAAATGGATGTTTGCCTATGTTCCTTCATCCTACGCTGGTTCTCTTTTACTTGCAAAACCCAATTTGGCCCGTGTGTGTGTGTGTGTGTGTGTGTCCAGTTTATTCTAGCCTGCTTTTATTTATTTCCCTTCAGTTTAAATCTACAGGTGCCCTGTTTTTCCTTGATTTCCTAGCTTACTTTAATTCTATATGGAAACGTATGTAAAGTTTCTGATTTGCCTGATGCGAGAATATAATCCTGATTCCGAAGCTTTGAAAAACGCACACGCACCAATAGGAACGGTGCATGCTACAAAGTTGTGGAACATGGCATTGGCTGCAGAATTAGATTTTTGGAGAATCTCTGGTTGTTGTTTTTTTTTCTTTTAAAAAATACAAATCTAAACGTTTAGATTGGGCCAACTACTAGCTTCCTGCAAGCTTGAAAACCACAAACTGTTGAGGGGGGGAGAGAGAGAGAGGGCAGAAATAAAGAACTACTATTACTCCTTTCTTTTGCCACAAGTCACATACTATTAGAGTAAAAGTGAAATTAAGCAAACTCAAAAAACACCCAGCTGTTAAAAAAAGTGGATAGCTTGATGGGTGCACATTAAAAAAAAAAGCTTTTAAATAAAAAGGGATGTGTTTGTTTTAAGGAAGTTAACGCATTGGATTTTTTTTTTAAAAAAAGATTAATTTTTCTTTTTAAAAGCCTGTATTAGGATACTGGAGTTGTACAACCAACACCAGCCCTGCACACAATCACCCCTTAAAATTGTCACTGGTACCACGGCATTGTGCTGGCTTCCAGAAATACTGGTTTGTGCTGAAAAGAGCCTCTTGCATCCTGCCCTGGAGAAAAATGCTATCTGTTTTCCACAGGCTCTTCAGCCATTCCACTTCAGGGCTGGAAATCTGTGTTTCACTTGGAGGTTTTCAAAATTGGACAACCGTTTGACTGGGATGCTATAAGGCTCCTGTCTTAAGCATGGGGTTGGACTAGAAGACCTCCGGATGTTCCTTCCAGCCCTATGAGTCTGTTAGAACAGGAGACCCTATATCATTTCAGACAAATGGTTGTCCAGTCTCTTTTT